GGCCAAGTGGTTGTTCTCCAGATTTCTTGGCACAACTTGGTGAGCACATCCAGGGTAACATCTGTTATCTGAAATACTTAGCAGTTACAGCTTGCTTGGCTTCTCAATCAACCCTCTTAACACCAGCAGTCAGGAAATCTGATGTCTTGGATGTCTCCAGCACACCAGCAGCCAGAAAATCAAAAGATGAATTGCACTGGGAAAATCTAATGTCATGGACGTCTCCAGAGTGCTGAAAAGGAGCAATGTCAGTTTGGAGACAAATGTCACCTAATCCAGGCAGTAGTCTTCTTAGTTACTGGTGTGCTTCAGAGAGCTGAACAGTGACCAAGATGACAAAAGAATAATCAATGCCTTTGAATTGTGGTGCTGGAGAAGAGTTTTGAACATACCATGGACTGTCAAGAAAACAAATTGGTCTGTCTTGGAGAGAGTGAAACCAAATCTCTCCTTGGATGCTAGGGTTTTGAAGCTCCCTCTCACATGCTTTGGGCACATGGCTAGGAGAGACTGGTCCTTAGAGAAGGACATCATGCTCAGAAGGGTGGAGGGACAGCTCAGGAGAGGAAGACCCCGGATGAGATGGATTGATAAAGTATCTGGCACAATAGGTGTTGATGTGCCTACATTAGTGAGTCAGGCTCAGGACAAGGAATGGGTCAAAGCTGCTGTATTTAGGGTTGCTATAGGTCGCAGGCAACTCAGTGGCACATAAAGAACAACATACTATATTGGTTGCTTTTCATTTAAGCCTCTTGTTTAGAGTCAACAAGACCTCAGGGAGGACCTTTGTATTTAAAAGTCAGTTATTATATTTTGGAGGAAAATTCTTCTAAGTGGTACAGCACTCTTATGTCAATATGCTGTACTGAGGTAACCTGGGGTTTCTGTGATGCTGAACTTTGTGCCATTGGGGTGTCACATGGTGGACAGTGTACCCATAGTGGACAGTGTTTGGTGAAGCTCCCAATTTAAGACGGGTTTGGAAGCAGGAGTGGCATCCACTTCTTAAACAGCATGCCTCTGGAAACTCTATGAACTTTGATAAATGACGATAGTTATAGAAAGGCTTCAGGTCTTTTGTTTATAGGGTCATTATGAGTCATACTTGACTCGATGGCAATCAACAATAACAACAGCAAAAATTTGGGCTCAATTTAAAATTGCTATAGTCATTAATATTTATTGTTGTTGTTATGTACCGTCGAGTCATTTGCGACTCATAGCGACCCTATGTACAACTGCCCTAAACCCTGCTCTGTCCTGTGCCAATCACATTGCCTCTGATACACCCATCCCGATTACCCCAGTCACTGAATCAGTCCACCTCATAGAGGATCCTCCCCTCCTGCGCTGTCCCTCCACCCTACCAAGCATGATGTCCCTCTCCAAGGACCTGTCTCTCCTTACAACATGTCCAAAGTATGTCAGAAGAAGCCCCAGAATCCTTGCTTCAAGGAGTAGCTTGCTTTAA